CCCCCGAGCTGCATGCTGCAGCGAAGTGTACTTGGACAAATCTGCGGCAACTGTGTGATGCCATCATGTCAATATGGACCAAAATCTCTGAGGAATGCTTCCAGCACCTTGTTGAATCTATGCCACGAAGAATTGAGGCAGTTCTGAAGGCAAACGGGGGTCCAACCCGTTACTAGCGTGGTGTACCTAATAAAGTGACCAGTGAGTGTATATATATATATATATATAATTTAACCAGGTAGGTCTCCCTTACATTTAGATTTTTATGGTAGACTTTAGTGTCCCTTAAAAAAGGAGATTTTAAGGTCAAAATTGTTTTACCAATACATATTTATACATTCCACTCAATTAATATGTGATTTATTTATTTTCTATTATAAGTTTTATATCGTGATATATATCGTTACCACCACTCATCACAATGTATATCGTGATATGAATTTTTTGCCATATCGCACAATCCTAGCCTCAACAACATGTTTTGTTTGAAATAAGACCAGCTGGCTGCATCCTCACACAGATTCTTATTATTGTACTTTCTCTCTCAAAAAAAATTTAAATTCCTACAATAAATTTTAATTTGACTAGTTTATTCAGAGCAATGGATCCATCCTAATAAAGTGAAGATTTGCAGCTCTTTATACGATATGTAAGAATGTAAAAGTAAATCCACAGGACTTATACTGAGCTGTGACTCTCAAGTAGAATCTTGAACAGTCCATTCTGAAAGGAAAATAAACTCCCTCATTCACATTCACTCCCAGTTTTATACATGCATAATTGTTGCACATGACATGGTTAAATAAAATGTCATTAGATAATATTTGATTTCAAGTCTCAGTTTCAGTCGTGTCAGTATTACCAGAACCTTTTTGCACGAGGATTGTGTTTAAATAAATACAGGATGTTAGAATTAGAGATGATCAGTTTTCTGATTTTTTTTCCACCTCAACCTAACAAAGCCCTTGTCCTCTTGATAGAGAGGATCGTTGGTTTGAGAGAGGAGTAAAGGAATCCATCTTTGTGAAGAAAAACCATCCACCATTAAACAGAGGTGGAGGCCTTCGTGTCCAGTTGTCCTCCTCCTACAACGCTGTTATTGCAAGTATGACTCCGCCCCCTGTGAGCAAAAGGTGTGAATCAGGACCCCAATGATACCAACACAAAGAGGGAAAGAGGGACAAAAACAAGGGGACTTTGAGCCCCGCTTGCATTCACTACATACACATAACAAAACACCAAATAACTACAGCCGAAGCATCCAAACCAATAAGTCAGGTGATGGAGCACATGACCCTCTATGAACAAAAGAGCTAATCAAGCCTATTGTTAGGCGATGGCCCTCTTTTGCATGTGACCAACCTGTTTGTCCATGTGGAGGCAGTGCTTATAAGGCTGAGTTCACCTGAAACTCATCAGACTGAAGAAGTCTCTTGGAGGAGAGACGAAACGTTTCACTAAAGAAGAACCCATCCAGAGGACCTACTGATTTTTTTTCTTTTTGAACATGTCTTTGTCATTAAGTTTTGTACATAAGTCAATAATTTACTGCAAGTCTGGTTTAGTATAACATACTTTATTTGGCTCTAGATCTAAACCTTGCCGAATCATGTTTTTGTAGTTTCGGTCACCACAAGACTTTAACTCTGTTTTCTGAACAAAAATAAGTTATTAATAGGGCTGTGTATTGGCAAGACTTTGGCGAAACGATACATATCATGACAGAGGGGTCACGATACGATATATCTCGATATATTTCAATACTGTAAACAAGGCGATATATTGTGATATTTTTGGTCCAAAAATTCTACTAAATAAAAACATCTTAGTGGAAAAACAACGACAAACCAAAATTCATTGTCTCAGAAAATTCTAATATTACATAGACATACTTTTGATACATTTAGCTGTGTTCTGCTTTGTATGTGTTTTATTTTATTTGTTTCATATTTCATCCATGTTTTCAATTATTAGACTAAATTTGCCAATAATTAGTTTGAAAATATATTTTTTGCAGCTTTTAATTTTTAATATTAATTAACAATAAGGTCACCCAACACTTAACAATAGCCTTTATGTTGTCATAAAGTTCAGTAAACAGATGATATGAAGCTGCTGCACACAGAGGTTCTGGGATCAGCTGACCTGCATCCAGAACCTGATTTGTAGAACTGTGGGTCGAACAGCAGGGCAGGTCCTGAAGAAAACCAGTTAACAGCAGGGCAGGTCTCGAAAATAAACAGTAAATAAGTGGAGAAGCTAAACGAGTTAAACCATTTTTGAAGCGAACACAGCAGGATAAAGTATATGGACTTTGATGCGATCAGCCGGACATTGAGAGCAACAGACAGAGTTTTATGTCACGGGGGGAGTGTCGAGCTCGCTCGAGGTCGTAGACGCATGCGCTATATGCGTAACGTGAAAGCTGACTACATTTGGAAAAAATAGTGCACAAAACACTTAATTTGTCTTAAAATACAGACATTCTAACAAATAAGTAACTGTTGGTAACCTTACCTCAGCTTAGAAGGCAGAGGGTGTCGGTCTTTTCYGCTCAGATTCAGCTATCGGAGCATGAAGCTAATGTTTACTCACAATGCTAATGCTCTCTTACTCTCTGGCGCTCAAGAGGTAGAGGAGCCAAATGTCTGACTCACTGCTGCCAACTAGTGGTCAGAGCTGAACTACAACATAAAAATGAACGACTGGCAGGAAAGTTGACATTTTAAACCTTAATAAAAAATCGATACAGGGCTTTAGAATATCGATACAGTTTCGGGAAATGAAATATTGTGATATTTCAGTGTGTCGATATTTTCTTACACCCCTAGTTATTAATGCAGATTGTTGTTTTTTTGTTGTTGTTTTTTTTTTTTTTCAAATACAATATTAGGGCTCCTAAAATAATTAGATGAATAATTGTATTTGCCTAAAAGCACAAGCAGGCTAGGTGTTGTTTTTTTCTTTACAAACACAATCTGCTTCAACACATTTGAAAGTCTAAGTTTGGCAAGAATATTTTCCACACCAGGACAGAGTGACAGAGGAAGTCAGGGAAGTTGCTCTTTTGTCTGCAGGAGGAGGAGGAGGGATCATAGTTATCAACGAAGATATACAAAACATATTATTGCAAATGAATCATCACCGTAGCTTCGTCTGTCCATCCCTCAACTGGCATGCTTTTTTAATCCACCATGACGAATGGATTACACAGACACACAGCTCAGTATATACATTTTTTGTTTTTAATGAGTGTTTTTTATCATAAATATTAGTTACAAAGATAAGACACATTAAGGTTATAGTATATAAGAATGCTGTTTGTAAAACCAACAGCAGCTTGATCCTGTGCAGGGCTGTGTGGATAGTGCATATGATGTTATGTCTACAGGGCTCTCAAGTTTTGACCTGAGCTTGGAGTGAGATTTCGA